ATTGGCCAGTTAGCTCTGACAGGAACAGGCCAGGTCCTAATTCATGCGGGTTTAGGTGGAATGTGATAAGAAAGTGTGGATGTTGAGCTTGAAGACGAGTATCTACTGTAACAGAGAGAGGATAGATAGATAGATAGATAGATAGATAGATAGATAGATAGATAGATACTGTAACAGAGAGAGGAGGAGGAGGCACAGCCAGAGAGTTTAACCCAGAAGTAGAATTATCTACATTGCATTTTGCCTTTCTTTACCATGATACTTTTTTTCTTTCTACTTTGACCTCTTGGCGTCATAGTAGAAACTATCAAATATATAAAGATAAACCCACTGAGCCAATACGAAGAAAAACTACCTGTACCATGACAAAGTCTAGTTATGATCTTATTGGGTCCTACTAATCCCATATATCTTGAAAAAAGCAATAATGCCTAATGCCGCCAAAAAAAAGCTCGGGTCTCAGGAGGTTATAAAGGGAATAATATGAATCTAAACAGGAATAAGACAATCAGTCATTTACATGGATTAAGTTGTAGCATGCTATGCTAAAGTGAGTAATTATAGCCTAATTCTAACAGATCGGTGACCAGATCTATCCGCTTTAACCGTTCAGCTCTGGAAGTTGATGAAGTGGAGACACCAAAAAAGGAGGATTTTTCTACTTTGAGACATCGGTACACAGCAGGTCAGGAGGAAAGTAGTGAGACACAAAGTGGGTCTGGACAGACAACTTCTCCGGGTTGTTCTGTTAGAGGAGAAGAAACTGAAAGCGGATTAAGGGTCCATGCTTCTGTTTGGAGGGACTAACTTTGCTCTGCAGAAAAATGCTACTTGTTAGCCTCTTTATTTTCCTATACAAATAGCAAGAAACAGACAGATATAGCTTTTTGTTCAATTAGATATTCTAAATGATCCCCAAAAGCTAAGTTTTCCCTCTAAAGCTCAGACAAGAGTTTAGATCCATACAGTCTAAAAACTGCCAAAAAATGCACATCTGAGGTCTGAAGCTAGAAACTGTTAGCTGTTATTATAGATACAGCAAAAAAACAACATTTTTATGGATATTAAAGACAAATCTGCACTGAGATCAATGCGAAAAAATCAGTTTTGACCAGAAGCTTGACCAGTCTTTTGACTTCCCACATTTTGGCATATTTCATATTAACCAACACTAATTAAACAGGTGAGTTCAGAGGTCGTTGTCATGGTGATAAGCCACTGTACTGATGGTAGCCATCATTGAGACGACTGCTTCAGGGCTCACGTC